TAACTATATTAATTCAACTGTGAACCTAGCAACTTACAGCCACTTGTGAAAGAGATGTCCTGTTGCTCTGGAATGTGTTACTGAATATGTTAAAGCAGTAGTGAAAAGCCTCTTCTAATCATGTAGTTATTAAAAATTTTTAAAAAGATTAAAAAAATAATTCTTTAAAGCATAAAAATTTTCTCATTAATAATTAGTAGATGTGAAAAACATTATCATTGAAATCTACCTGAGGACTTTATATCCATGCTTAGATGCCAAGGATCTGAGTGTAACCGACTGTGACTAGTAATAATTAGATATGTAGAGATTAAAGACACATAATAATCAGATATACAGAGATTAGAAATGCATGTGCAAACATCTTAATGTTAATTGCATTAAAAAATGAATTTTTCTATATGAAACTGTGTATTTTAGTAATGAAATGGAGATATTTTTGAAAGGTTAAAACCTCATTTAATTTTATGTCTTATAGGGTTTATACTGAGTACAATATTGCATAACTGTAATAATTCAACTGTAAACCTAAAAATGTACAACCAATTTTGTAAGATGCATCCTAGCTCAGAAAATTGTTATTGAATATGTCAATGATGATGTAATGAAATGCTTCTTCTAAGTATGTGGTTATTAAATAAATAATTGAAAAAATTATTATTATTTTTTTTTTATGTGTATCCATGTACTGCCACCATGTAGGTAAGTGCACCCATGTCATGCAATGCCCTTGGAGGACAGAAGAGGCTGTCAGATCTCTTGGGAGTGGAATTACTGACAGTTGTTAGCTGCTATGTGGATGGTGGGATTTGAACCCAGGTCTTCTGCAAGACAACCCAGTGTTCTTAACCGCTGAGCCATCTCTCCAGCCCTTATTTTCGTCTTTTTGAGACAGGGTCTCCCTGTAGCCCCAGCTGTCCTGGAACTCACTATGTAGACCAGGCTGGCCTTGTACTCACAGAGATAGGCCTGCTTCTGCCTCCAAAGTGCTGGGATTAAAGGCATGTGGCACCACGCCCAGCCCTTGTGTTTCTTTTATGACCATATAGTTTCTTTATCAGAATTAACACTGTCTTCTCAATTTAATCTCTTTAAGACATTTACATTTCAATATTTAAAACATTGCATTCGAAATTCCATTAGCCATTTTTAGAAATTTTGAAGAGTTGCACATGGCATTTAAGAAAGAAAAGTATTAAGTAATAGACTGGCAGGTGCTAAAGAATAGTTTGCACAAATGAACAATGTTCAAGAGAAACAAGAGAAAATGAACAAAACCAGACAAAGTACACCAAAGGCTTAGTGATAGCAATGAAACTTATCTGGGGTTTTAGTAAAGACAGTTTGGGTTAAAGAAGTCACAGAAAGATTTGCTAGACAAGGGGGATAGCAAACGGAAGCAGTAGGGGACCATGTCACACAGCTGTAGAACCCTTAAAACCACCAGGTTCTTCTTGCATAGAAAGACTTAAGAACAGAAAAACACGCTCACACTCTCTCATGTTAACCTTTCACTTCTAGTTTATCACAGATCCCTGCTGCATTTTCTATCCAGTATACCCCTCTCCAATTAAAATATTAGCTGTTTTTAAACTTCTTTTTTCCCTCTAAACTTTATGTGCTTGGTCATTTACCTAATCATTTATATAATTTTTGGCTCTGTTTTTCTATAGATACTAAATAATTGTAAAACAGGCAAAGTGTATTTATTAGTTATATGACACCCTAGCCAGCATCTGTTGTTGTCAGTCTCCTATTAAGGGGACACACTTCCTTCTGAAAACATTACTCAAGTCACAAACTGCTGTTAATGATCATTTTAGAGGTAAAAATCCCATAAACTCAAATTAGTCACTGACGTTTCGTAAGTGCTACTGAGTCAATGGCGGGTAATTAAAATCATTTAATTCGCGATGTGCACTCTAGGAAGTGGGGGCTTAACTTTCTCTGGCTAATATTGACAGCCCAAAGCGGCTGGATTAAATCAGAGGGCTTTTCAATGTTGTGGACCAAGGTGACTTCCTGTTCTGTTTTAGGTTTCATTTCCTTCCCTTAACAGGCTGTGTTTTCTAATGTGCTGCAATCCTTTAGCTCAATGATTTCCCACGGAAAGGGCATAGTGCTTGGGCCGCCGCAGGTCTTCCCACG